CTTTGGGACTAGTGGGTCCAATCGTCGTAACTGCTAAAATTCTACTTCAAAAATTGTGGAAATCTGGGGCAGGTTGGGATGACGATATCCCACTCAATATAAAAACTTCGTTTCTTGAGTTTTAAAGGGATTGCTTAAATCTTAACAAATATCAATTACCTAGACATGCATTTGCCCCTACTGTTAAAAATATACAATTGCACGGGTTCTGCGATGCCTCGGAACAGGCCTACGGGGCTTGCATATATGTCAGAGTCACAGATAAGGATGAAAATGTGCATATTGGTTTATTATGTGCAAAATCCAGGGTAGCACCGCTTAAAATAGTAAGTCTTCCGCGATTGGAACTTTGCGGTTTTTATTGTTAACTCGATTGTTAAATCAAGTCACTCTTGCCTTAAAATTAAATAAAGTTGAAACATATTACTGGACGGACTCAAAAATCGTACTCGCTTGGCTGGCGGCCGAACCATCAACGTGGAAAACCTTTGTAGCCAATAGAATCTCTGAAATTCAAACCACGGCCAGGGATACAAACTTTAATCACGTAATGTCGGCTGAAAATCCAGCCGATATAATTTCTCGGGGCGCGACAGTACACGACGAATTATTCAATACGCCACTTTGGTTTCAGGGCCCACCTTGGTTAAAAACAAATAAAAGTAACTGGCCTATCGCAACGGTTAATGAACCAATAGATCTGCCGGAGACTCGTAGTTTCGCCGTTCTTGCCAATAATTCCGACAGTTTCGATATTTTTAACAGGTATTCTAAGTTTAATAAATTAAACCGAGTTGTAGCCTATTGTATAAGGTTTTTTAACAATTTAAGGCATCCCAATAGCAAACAAACAAGTGAATTGTCTGTATCCGAATTGTCGGATTCCCAAAATAAATTAATCTTGCAAGCACAATCATTTAAGATAGAAATCGCGGCACTCAAAAATAAGAGTCAATTAAAGGCCACAAGTAACATTCTCAGTCTAAGTCCCTTCATTGATAAAAATGGTGTCTTGAGAGTAGGAGGCAGATTGAGGCATTCAGATGTACCATACGCCCAAAAACATCAAGCGTTACTATCACAATCCCACAATTAATTATTACACACGAACATGAAAAATTATTTCACGCCGGACCACAAGCTACTTTAGCTGCGCTGAGGCAACATTATTGGATAATTAACGGACGGGGGGTTGTGCGTGGCGTTGTACGAAAGTGCCTAATTTGCTTTAAGGCAAAACCAATTTTAACTAAACATTTAATGGGTGATTTACCAAGGAAACGCGTAGTACCTAATCGACCATTCTTAACTTGCGGGGTAGATTACGCTGGCCCATTTAATATTAAAGACGGTACTACTAGATCTAGAAAGCTTGTTAAAGTTTATGTATGCCTGTTTGTATGTTTTAGTACAAAGGCAGTACACTTGGAGTTAGCGGGTGATTTGTCAACAAATGTTTTCCTTAACTGCCTTAAGCGATTTATGTCTAGACGCGGGTTTTGTGCGGATATCTACTCGGATAACGCTACAAATTTAGTTGGCGCTAAAAACGTCCTTGATAAGACTATTTCTGACCCGGCGGTATTAAATTATTTAGGCGAAAATCGTGTTAATTGGCACTTCATTCCGCCTAGATCACCCCATTTTGGGGGGCTCCATGAAAGAGCCATAGGCTCTTGCAAGTATCACTTAAGGAGAATAGTAGGTGACAAAAATTTTAATTACGAGGCCTTCCTCCAATACTTACACAAGTAGAAGCCATTTTAAATTCGCGTCCTTCAACGCCTCTATCAACTGACCCACACGATCTCAACCCCTTAACCCCAGGGCATTTCCTAATCGGGTCCGAATTGATCTCCTTACCTGAACATGACCTAACCGATATTCCTTTAAATCGCCTGAATAAATTTCAATTACTACAACAATGTATACAACACTTCTGGCGTCGATGGCATTCCGAATACTTAACTACCCTACAAGCTAAAACAAAGTGGAAGCAAGCACAGGGAGATTCCATTAAAATTGGTACAATGGTTCTAATTAAGGAAGATAACGTTCCATCAATGAACTGGCCTTTAGGACGAGTAAGGGAGGTGTTTCCAGGAAAGGATGGTATCGTCAGGGTGGTAAATGTACAAACAAAAAATGGGTTGTTCAAGAGAGCTTGTTCAAGTTAGCAGCCTTACCAATGGATGATGACAGCAATTAACCATTATCCTTTGAAAGTAGTAGGATACTTTCAAGGGCGGCGGCATGTCCGAGCGGACAACACCCTGTATAACAATATTGTCATGCGGCATAGCGTACATACGCAGAGGAGAAGGTCGCGAGAATGATAGGAGAAGACTTGAAGTGATACCGTGTAAAGGTGCAAGCTATTAAACAATTTTAATTATGTTATGTATTCTGTAAACTTTATGTGAAAGTGTGGGCCCACTATTGTGCGTGTGATAAACTTAAATGTGAATTTTAACAATTTTACTCCAACTGAAGCGTGCGAATCCAGAAAATCCACGGGGAACACAACATCTGTACAGTCCACTAAAATAAAACGGCGACCAATAAGGTAAGCCCCCCACAACGAGATTAAACAGTATATTGACAGCCTTACAACTAGCGTTTAGTATACATGCAAGCAATTAATAATGCAAGGTGTCTATATACTTTTAAGAAAATGTTATATTGATTTCCGTTGCAGATCATACCGTCAATATATGCCTGATGTGGTATTTATTTGGTGGAAAATGGAATAGTTTAACATCAGTAGTACTAGGGTGTTGTCACCTGATTTAACTCACTGTAGGCAGGTAGATATCCCGGATTCATTAATTTATTTATGAAATGTCTCTTACTCTCTTTACGTTGGAAGAACAATTACAATGAAACATGTTTTGACATACCTGTAGTTTCGGGTCTACTCGTTGATTACAATCCTCAAATGATTAATAATAAACTTAAATAAGCTACTTGTTCACTGTTACTACACAACTACTAACAGGTGTCAGCGTACGCGCGCAAGAATGGCCTTAGCCACTGACCAAGCCCGCCTCGCTTCGCTCGGCATTTACTTAATATGACACGTAGCCTGGGCGGGCTTGGTCAGTGGCGGAGCCCATTTTTGCGCGAGTAAACTAAATGTATTATTAATTGTAGGAGGCCCTGGAACAACAATACAAATTGACGAGTCGGTCATAACCAAACGGAAATACCACAGAGGGCGCGTGGTCCCCGAAAAATGGATTTTAGGGATTTATGATACCACGAATAATCTGGGATATATACAGCATGTTCAAAACCGTAGTGCCCAAGTACTAATCCCTATTATCCAGAACCACGTGAGAGCCGGAAGTGAGATCTGGACCGACATGTGGAGAGGCTACAATAGTCTTCCACATGTTAATCATTCTCGATATTTTCGAGATCCAGTGACTGGTGTTTGTACCAATCATGTGGAAGGCTATTGGAGCAAGCTTAAACAATATTTACGGCGGTTGGGAGTAATTGGTTCTCCATTTTTATATGAATATATTGACCAATTTTTATGGAATGGTATTTATGGAGGTACGGCTGCCAATTTAGTAATTTAATATTACAGATATAGTTGAATTTTTAAGTCATGAGCCCTACGGCAACAATGTCAAGCAACTGAATCAAATCGAGGGCAAAATCAGTGGCGTATCGTGGAGTTTTATTTGGGGTTCGAAATGTTGTATACGTATGCAGTCCATTATACACGTTTGTGCTTTGGGTTGCGAATCAAAATATGATAATCGTATTTTGCATGGCTTAAACCATATTATGATTCGTTTTAACTTAAATCCTTCATTTGAACGTGCAAATTTATTAAAACAGTAACTCTTATGTAATTATATTATTAAATGAAACGTTGTAATTTATATATATTAAATTATTGTAATTTTAAATTATATACTTTGCGTTACCCATTCTGCGTGGAGAAAATTAGGGGTAGGTACCTATTCTACTACTAAAAAAATCCTTATACTTTGCAAATTTTCAAAATATGTATGTTAATTAATTTGGAAATATTAAAATTTGTATAATGCACAATGGTTAAGATATTATTTTATATATATAAGCTCAAATGGAGACAAAAATGGGACGTCTAATTTTTGTTTAATAGTAAAATCAGCGGTGGATTTACACTAGGGGCAGTCGGGGCTAGTTCCCAGGGCGGCAAATTTTCTAGGGCGGCAAAAATTGGAAAGTGAAAAAAAAAATTATATTGTCAAAAATTCTCAATAGAAATTTTTTATTCTTTTAATTAATCATATTTTATTTAATAGATAATTCAAGAAATTCGACTCATACAATATTTGTCAAATCGAAATTTTGTAAATCATAATTTTGGCACCTTAAGTGAAAATTTATCTTCGAAATAATTTAATTAATTCATTTCTTTGAAGATTTGGAATGGTAATATTTGATTTTTTATTTTGCTGGAATAATAAAATTTAAATTTGTTTTTTTTTTGGAAAAATTAAGAATGTTATTGAGTTATTTTTGCATGTGTTAAAAAAATAAATTTTAATTAATTAATGAGTTTCTTAAAAATTGAATAATTCGTCGATTATACTTATTAACTTGAATTTAAAGAAAATCTTATACTTTTGAATCTATTCAAATTTCAACTGTGCATACTGCAACCTGCAGTCTGTTTTACAAATATATCGATATATACTAGATCTAGTTTCTATCGGTATAGTCATTTTCACATTTGACGTTGACATGAATCTAACCTGCAAAAAATTTCATTAATGTTGAGCATAAAATTTATAATACAGGGTCCGGCACTGAAACTTTCTTTTTTCAATGAGACGTGAGGACGCTACTGGAGATGATTGCGGCACGGCAGTGCTCTTAAAGAAGAACGTTGGTGGGGAGATTTATTGTTTCTTAACCGTCAGTCGTAAAAATGCTTTGGGCGAGAGAGCAACCCGCGTTTGCAGTAGAAACGTTCTTTTCACAAGGCCGCTCAATAGTTGCGGTGCAGCGTGCGTTCCGTTTACGGTACAATATTCCCCCTCGAGGAGCTGTTCCTGCCCGGGGATCCATCTTATCCTGGGTGGAGGCTTTTAGAACAGTTGGAAATGTGGGCCGCAGGAGACCAGGAGCAACACGGTCCGTTAGAACACCCGCAAACATCGAGACAGTCCAAGAGTTGGTTTTGCGATCTCCTAGGCGCTCTGCTTCAAAACATGCCGCTGCCCTTCTTCATGAAGACCTTCACTTTCACCCCTACAAAATGGTAGTCGCACAAGAACTTTTCGAATGTGATAGGAGATCGCAAAACCGACTCTCGGACTGCCTAGATGTTTGCGTGTTCTAACAGACCGTGTTGCTCCTGGTCTCCTGCGGCCCACATTTCCAACTGTTCTAAAAGCCTCCACTCAGGATAAGATGGATCCCCGGGCAGGAACAGCTCCTCGAGGGGGAATATTGTACCGTAAACGGAACGCACGCTGCACCGCAACTATTGAGCGGCCTTGTGAAAAGAACGTTTCTACTGAAAACGCGGGTTGCTCTCTCGCCCAAAGCATTTTTACGACTGACAGTTAAGAAACAATAAATCTCCCCACCAACGTTCTTCTTTAAGAGCACTGCCGCGCCGCAATCATCTCCAGTAGCGTCCTCACGTCTCATTGAAAAAAGAAAGTTTCAGTGCCGGACCTTTTTAGTTACCTTTTTTTCAGTTTTTAGTACCTAAATATCCCATCCCTAATAATAATATAATATAAATTATATATAGTAGTAGTAGTAGTAGTACGGTTGGGTAGGCTCGAAGCCTGACAATTAGACTCCATGGTCCTTTTTATCTGCCCCTCCTAAACCAACCAGACTACTCCTCATCTTCCTCTTCGCCCATACCAGCCCTTTCGAATCTTCCAGACCTTCTTATAAAGGTCAGGATATCCTGCCAGGCAAGAGAGGCCAACTCTTCCCTTTGGAGTGTCATCACTCCAAAGATTTTATACCTTAGTCTGCCGAGGGCCTCACATTGTCCCAGGAAGTGAAAGGAGGTTTCATCCTCCCTTCCGCACTGGGTACAGGAGGGGCTGGATTCAGCCCCTATTCTTGTGAGGTGTTTCCTTAGGCCATGACCTGTGAGTATATTCACAAGTGGGCCCAAGGAGGTTCGGCTTCTACCTAGAAGCCAGATGGATTTGGGTTTGCTTAGGGTGACCAGAAAATCCCTGGTCTGCCTACAGCCACCGCTTCTTCTCCAGCTTTCATTCGCTCTTTTATCAGCCCAATTATTTAGGGCTGATTTGACCTGCTTTCTCGTGATTCCAAAAATTGGTTCGGGTCCTACACAGGGGGTTTCAGATCCCAATCTGGCCAACTCATCAGCCCGTTCGTTACCCTCAACCCCACTATGACCTGGTACCCATACGAGATGCACTCTTTTTGTACTTGCTAGCTTTTCCAGCGCTTCCTCACACTCTTGAACCAACTTCGATGTGGTTCTCGCTGCCCAAAGCGCTTTCAGAGCTGCTTGGCTATCTGAGCAGATGTATATATCTGTCTCACTCCCTGTTCTTATATCCTCACAGTTTGCAACCTCAAGTATGGCAAACACTTCCGCTTGAAAGACAGTGGTATATCCTCCGAGCGGGTAGCTCCTTTGGATATCCCTGTCCTCCACGCAGAAACCTGCCCCTGAAGACAGTGTACTCGCCATACGAGAGCCATCAGTGTAGCACACTAGTGCATTTTGTGCAAAGTGTACATCCTTTTTCTCCCACTGCTCTCTTGTTGGTATCGTGAGGGAAAACTTCTTTTTTAAACTTAGGCGGTCTTTTGCTGGCATCGTTCTAATACTGCTAATTGGGACCTCCCTCTCAGCCATATCCGCGATGCCCTCATGACCATAAGTTATTCCTTTTCCTAACCAATTGTTGGCATCCCTCATCCTTAAATGGCTCGCCATTGCTTCTCTCTTTATCCAGAGGGAAAGATTAGGCAAGCTCAGCAAGGCCTCTAATGCCGTCGTTGGAGTAGTCCTCATTGCGCCTGTGATACCGAGACATGCCAGTCTCTGTATCTTGCTCAATTTTTGAGCGATGGTGGTTTTGCTCACACTGCGCCACCAGACCACTGATCCATAATGTATCCGCGGTCTGATGACAGCAGTATAAATCCAGTGAAGGACTTTGGGATTTACTCCCCAGCGTTTTCCCACCACCCGGCGCAGCTGCCAGAAAGTTGCAATCGATTTGTCAACAACTCTGTCAACGTGTGATTTCCAACTTAACTTCCTATCTAGGGTAACACCTAGGTACTTGACCTCTTCAGTAATCTCAAGAGGTCTTCCATACATGGCTGGTGCCCTGAAGTCCTGTATCTTCCTTCGTTTGGTAAAAAGAATCATGTCAGTTTTTGTTGGGTTAACCGACAGACCGTTTTCTTTGGACCAATTTTCTATTATTTTGCATGCTGTCTGCATTCTGTCGCAGACTACACCTAGAATGCCTCCTCTGATTAGGACTGTACCATCATCTGCATATGCTTGTGCATACAGCCCTTCGGCCGTCAGTCTCTCCAGAAGTCCATCCATTATTAAACACCATAGGTGGGGTGATAGGCAGCCGCCTTGTGGGCAGCCGCCCCTCACACCGATGTCCAAATGGCAGTCTCCCAGAGATGCACTGACCTGCCTCTCCTCCAGTGAAGATTTAACCCAACTAACCAGGACTGGGGGAGTGCCTCTGGCTTGTAGCGCTTCACAGATTGTAGATGTCCTCGCCTTATCAAAAGCCCCCTCTACATCAAAGAAAACAGCTAGTGCCATTTCCTTGTAGTGCAGTGCCTTTTCGACTCTATGCACTATAGAATGAAGAGCCGTTTCGGTCGACCTTCCATTTCTATAGGCATGTTGATTCTTATGGAATGGGTACCTTTTCAGCACCCCTTCTTGCAGGTACCGGTCCACGATCCTTTCTAATGTTTTAAAAAGAAAGGATGTTAGGCTTATTGGCCTGAAGGACTTTGCAGCCGAGTAGTCTTTTTTCCCTGCTTTGGGTAAATTATATATAAATTTATAAATAAATAAATAAAAAATTTATAATATAATAATATAATATTTAATCAATTGTCAAATATGGCTGATGGACGCAAAAAATTGAGTGGAACTGAGTATCGAAAGCGCGCTTTGGACAAAAGTAAAAAGGAACCAGAGGTTTTGAGTAAAACTCCCAAACTAGATGATTTTTTTTACGAAAAAGGAACGTGTTACGCAAAAATTAAAATCTATAGATAGATGCTATAGCAATAGAGATTGTACGAATTTAGATCACGAAGTTTTGTCGCGACAATCTTTCTAAGTTTCATATGATGGGGCGGCAGTTTTTTCAGTGCCCAAGGGCGGCAAAAGTTTAAATCCGGCCCTGAGTAAAATGCAATATATTATTATTAAATTATTTAATAATTTAATGATAAATGCTCTTAACTGCATTAAAAGGATCTATTTTCATCTATTAATATGTTAATATTTATATATAAGATATCTTATTCGCTATCATCTTCCGATTCATCGTCGTTGATGTTACCAATGTGGATTATCATTTCATGACCATGATCATCGTCCAAGATTCTTTCTTTATTGTACTATTCCTCTATAATTTTTTCAGTGTGTGCTATTTTTGACTTCCATGATTCTGGAGTAACTTTTTGTAATGCCCGTTCCCACATAGTAAGCACTTTATCATTACCATATATGGTATAGCCATGAAGATGCATCTTCACCAATATGTTTATTATAATAATCCTTTGCATCGGCCCATACCATTTCAATTGCGTTAAATTGACAATGGTACGGAGGCAATCTTAAAGCTTCATGTCCATTTTCTTGTAGCAATTCATCAACCTTATATCGTATTGGTTTTTTATGTTTCTTGGCTAAATTTAAAAGTTCTACTTTGAACATATCATTATTTAATGGTATATTATTTTCTTCCAACCATTCCTAAATTTTTTTTTGGTCCATGAAACCGTTGGTTGTTTTTCCATTTTAAAAGACGCTATGGTAAGACGCGTTGTCCATTATAATTAGAGAAGGTTCCTGTAAATTTGGAATGAATTGTTCTTGCAACCATTTCGAAAAAATTTCTGAGTTCATATCACCATGATAATCCGCCAGTTTGGACCTCGTGGAGTAAACCAATGCGGCATCGCGAATAAAACCTTTTTCATTACCAGCATGCAACACAATGAAACGTTTTCCATCATAACCTTCTGGTTTGCGTACACTTTTTGTGGATGAGTCTTGCCAGGATCTTGTATGGCTTCCTTTAGCAAATATCCAAGTTTCATTTACATTTAAATACGCAAATTATGGAAAATATTAAAAAATTCAAGTACACCAATGATGACAGGCTGTCAAAGTTTTGTAGACATTTGTGCATTTAGCTATCTTTGTCGATCCCATTATTATAAAAATATAAAAATAAAAAACGTATGTTGTGGTATTATTAGACATACGTTTATCTATCGCTATATGCTACGTCCCAGTGGTCCTGCGGCGTGGAAATACAATACGAATGTCTGAGCTATATCCTTACATATGTCACGTGAGGGTCATGATTAAAAAACCAAACTATATCCAAGCGTTATCCATAATTTTTTCAATAAAAGTTTTTATTTTTTTTCAATACTTTTATAATTTCAAATTTTTAATATTGTGTATTTTTCACCACAAATTTCATTAATTTATTAAAACATTATGTTTTTACCACCAGATAATAACTACACAAATTTTTAATATTGTGTATTTTTCACCACACATTTCATTCATTTATTAAAAGATTAATTTTCACCATTAGTATATTATTAGGTTTGTTCCTATCGAACATTTTGACTATCGAATGAACGTCATGAATATGTACAATAACAAAATTGCGCAAACAATTTTAGTATTGTGAATGTCCCTGACTTTTATTCGATACACTCGGCAAGAGCAAGCCAATTTTAGACCGTCGCGAGAAAGGTTAGTTTAACACTACTGATGAGCTATTAGTTATGACTCGTCGCGACGCGTCGTTGCAATAGGGTAGAAGCACCTGTTTTGGCCACCGACCCCGTTGTGGCTCTCACGTGGTTCTGGATAATAGGGATTAGCACTTGGGCACTACGGTTTTGAACATGCTGTATATATCCCAGATTATTCGTGGTATCATAAATCCCTAAAATCCATTTTTCGGGGACCACGCGCCCTCTGTGGTATTTCCGTTTGGTTATGACCGACTCGTCAATT